TTGTTTTTGTTATTGCTGGTTAGGAATATTAAATCATCCTCTCTTGCATAAACTATAGCTTATAAACTCTAAAATAGAAAAATCGGTTATCTTATCAGCTGAAAGAAAATCCATATCATGCATCCCTAATCAAAACAATAAAAGTACATGAAGCATCGTGTTTGTTACTCCACTGGAACCATTTTATCAGTGTCACTGAGCTCCCACTTCTCAACACTAACGGTGAATGTAATGTAATCATAATAGCACCTACTGCCACAGTTACAATAATTCCTCACCCACCTCTTTCTGCCAGTGTTTGATCTTGTTGTTGTGCTCAGTGATGGTGGTCTCGATCTGCTCGATGCGGAGCCGGACGCTGAGGGACTCCTCCTGCAGTGCGTGCTCCTGCTGCTGCAGGACCTTTATCTCTTTCAGCACCCCCTGATACTGCTCCTGCACCTCAGGAAGTGCGGCCTAGAGGACAAGAAAAACACAGTGGTACTCAACTTATTTCAGTGTTTACTTTATTCATTCAGATGGGGCGATAGCTCCGACTAAAACGGCACAGTAATGACATTGTTTAACTAAAAAACTCCTGTTACTAAACCCAGAAATAGTCCAGAATTATCATCACAAAGCCATAATCCCATAGGAATCACTAGCATACCTTACATAGGTTTTCTTAAAGGAGGTGCAAAGCAGGACAGTAACATATTTGGTGGTGTTTCTTTTGATAAACAGGTAAAAACTCATATTGTGGGAGCTTTAAATTCTAAGATGCATAGTCCTTCAGCAAGAAGACCAGGTTGATGGTAAACTAGTGTCAGGAATGCTTCTTTGAGCTGGAAACTACTACTTTTGGATATATTGGTATAAAATATCGGCACATATTCCTGTGGAAATCTGCACACAAACAATGAGTCTTGGACAGAAAGTGAATGAAGAGCCAACCTCAGCCTCCTGACAGGCCTTCATGATCTCCCCGGCCTCCTCTTCCAGTTTCTTCAGTTGTTCTGTGAGCTCAGCCATCGACTTCTCGTTCTCCTCCAGCTCACTCTGCACACGATTCACACTCTCCTCGCACTTCTTCAGGTTGCTGCAGAGGGGACACAAATACAGATATTAGCCTCTGTCAGAGTGGTTAATGTGTGTGTGAGTAGAAAACTGTTGATAATTCTTTGATTTCTGTCACAGCTGACCCACGCTGACGCCGTAACGTGAGCAACAGCAGCAGCATCTTCCAGATGTGTTGAGGCACAGTGTGGAGTGTAGGTCACCTGTGTTGTGGCAGTACTCAGAGCTCAATATACAATCAGCGTAGTTATGAGCCTAAAAAAGAAGAAGCTAGACTTGGATGCAGCTGTAACACTTCCTGTATACACACAAGACTAATAAGTGCCGGCTCAGGTTAAACTCTCTGTTAGACTGAGTCAGGAAGAAAAAGAGACAGACACACTTACTCGCTGATACCAGTATTGGGAATTCCCAATACTGCTATCGGGATAGGACGTACCATTGGTAGACACAGCAACAGCTACTGTCACATCCTCTGCCCTTCAGTAACACTGTTTCAATACAGCTAAATGCACATCCCAACTTTTAACTGGCTTATTTTTCATTTTCTGTTGTTTGGCCACTGTGTGAGAGTAAAGTGTTTATTTAATGCGGCTTATAAATGCTACTTGCTAAACAAGGTTAACAATAATCTCTGCACTGAGACCATCACTCTAAATAATAAGGCCTCTCAGGATCAGTGATGCATGATGAGACTGACATGCAAAAAATAGCTAAAGAAAGAATTAGAGGCCGTCATTTTGTAACAGACAGAAGTATCTGTGTGGAAGGATGTAGTGCGTATTTTACAGTGAAGTTAGACATTAGAAACTGCATCTACACCGTATTTGACACCAAGGAAATTGAACAACGGCTGCCTCGTGTGTCTCACTTTATAAGCTCCAGTGTGTTTTTCACCGGCTCCTCCAGCTGAACAAACCATCCTGTCACATGCAGCCACCAGTGTCCTTTTACTACAGCACACTGTCAGGCTGTCAGGCCGTCCTGCGTCAATCTTAAAGTCATGACTAGATGCCCCTTTTAGATGCTGCGGCCACAACAATGATTAACTCAAAGGAACCAATGACAACAACAGGAAGAAGAAAGGACACCCAGAACCCCGGGTACAGGGTGTCGCCCCCTAGTGACAGACAGAAGAGAAGCCTCAGTGACACATCACTGTTGACAATAACTAAACTCTGGAGAGAACAGTTCAGTATCCTCCTTAGGAACATAACACACACATTTTAAAATACTAAATAATTCTGTGACTTTAGGACAGTTTCATATACATTTAAATGAGACACTGTGCCAATAAATGTGCTCAAACTAAGTTGCTATTCACGGCTCAGCCTTTCTGATTTTAGAACAAATTTCGTCATCAACAGACACTAAGAGTAGCTGATTGTAGTGTGTGTGAACTGCACAACCACAAGTAATTACAGAAGTGAAACATGCATTATTTCCTCACCGGCCAGCTGTCTTTATGGCCACTTGAGCCTTGGTTATGGTGGAGGAGCAGTCATCCAGCTCCTTGTTGACCTTGTCAAGCTTGTCCTGCTGAGCCTTTAGCTTGTGGCTATTGATGTCTACAATCAGGTTGTGGAGCCTTTTCACCTCAGTTTCCACCTTCCCAGCCTTACTGGATGCTGCCTCGTAGTCTGAGAGAGCAACAGAGGTTATGAGGGACAGAACAGGGAGAAAGGAAGAAGACAGAATGATAATATTCATGTCTGAAACTCATTTAGACATTAAACATGAAAACAAACCAATTAGAACTCATTCTTACATGAGACCAAATATGAACTTAATAACATATTTAAGAATTTACAACAATATATCTCTCTTTACAGTTTACAGGAGAAC